CCCCCCACTTTCTCGAATTTGTCAACCAGCACTCAGCAAGTCTGGGAATAATTGGTTTTTCCAGGCACACTCATCCACTCAATCACTAGATAGCCCAGTAGCTTCTACGAGCAGAGTGATTTGACAGACCATTTCCAGATAATCGGAGGGACCCTGCCTGTGCACTGTTACACTTCACTTTGAATAACACAGATCTGAAACGCAATGAAAAGCAACAATTTGGTTCTGGGCAAAAGAAGTTGGTAAATTTCCAACTCTGAGAGCAAAGGGGGGAGGGGGGGAAATTGAATTTTTGTGATACTTGGGCCTTTGAGCAGCGGTACAATACCAAAGCAATTTTCCAGGTGAAACTACATGAGAAGATTTAATATTAGATCCCTAAAACTTTACAACACACCACTTCCTGTCTGCTGTGATTTAAGCCTGGTAACAATGAAAGCAAAGACGATGGCCACTCTGCTAAAACCTTGTTAAAAGCATCTTAATTCCCATTCCTGTCTCCTCTGACATGATTACATGAGACAGTAGTCAGAATCCTTCACAGCTCCACTGATTTACTCTCAGCCGTGGGTCTGGGCCAGAAACTGGGTCACCATGGCAAGCTTAAAGGGACAGCAGCCACATCTGATTAAGAGCACCCACTTAGTCAAATAACAAACTATTTTGTCTAATGCAGTATATCGTGGGTGAAGAATGAACAGTGAAGGTCATTTAAGGCCAGTTAAATGCATATTCGGTGTACGGTGAGATGTCAGCGAGGTGCTGTGCGGCAGCTCGACGTGATTCCAATGTAATTTAGGAGAGTATTATTGTAGCGGTTAATCTGTAAATGGCTGAGCTGTGGATTTGTTGTGCAGCGAATGGGAATCCTCGCCGTCCTGACAGATGTAACGGGCAGATGTTGCAACTACTGGGGTAAAAAAGTTAATCTCACTACTAGCTAGAGAATCTGTGTGTGTGTGTGTGTGTGTGTGTGTGAGAGAGAGAGAGGCCACACGTGGATCAATTTAAGTGCACAAACTGCTTCTTGCATAAATATGTACCCATGTGCCACGTGCACAGGATCTACGGATGTGACAGAATAAATTCATCCAGCGTGTCTCATCAGCTGCGCATCTCAGTGTCGCAAACACTCACACTCGGTTTGTAAATTTAGACACACATGTCCCGTCTCCGTTTAACGCCCCTGCTAATCTAGCTAACCCAAGACTGAAGTATCCGTCACAATCTCCACAGATTCCGTCCTATCTCCTCAAATCTTCCATCTTGTATGCTGTTGGCTTCTCTGTCTGACTCACTCTAAGCCTCAGCTTTACTAACAACACTCACTTCCTCACCCACTCAAAGTCATCTTGGCAGTATAGTGTGGAGAAGAAAAAAAAAGCATTTGTAAAAAGCATAAGACTGCAATCATCTCCTGGTTGTAAAATCTTTTACATGTGATTCTAGAGACGTAACTGTTGACATTGTGCACAGATACGGTGAGATGACTTGCGAAAGGCTCAATATTAAGCAGTAATACGTATCCCGCTAACTTAAATACATTAGAAATGAGCTGTCATTGCCAAGAAACCCAGCATCAAACAGCAAAAGATGACATCTCTAAAAAAAAAAAAAAAAAGTAACTCGTAGAACAGACATGAAAACATCGTCTCATGCTCGTTTCATGCGGGGGAATCAAAACCTCTTGTACAACCAGGGCTCTACTGAGGCAAGACTGAACAAAATACACCTTCCCTCATGTATTCTAACACACAAAACCACACACCGGAGTGGGCGGTATGTGTATTAGTCCACGATACTAGAGGGGATATAACAGTCATAAATGATCAAATGAATAAAAGGAGCCGCACATTTTCATAAATGTGCTTCTTTGCTTTCAAACAGAGTGTTTGATGAGAAGATTGATGCTCCTCTCATGTCTGTATATTAAATATGAGGCTACAGGCATGCAGGCGCTGGTTATCTTAGCTTGGAATACAGGCTGGAAACAGGTGGAAAGAGCTAGCCTAGCCTCCGAAAATGTAAAAACAACTAATCGAGAATGAAAAGCTTAAATGGCAGTATGGTGTCAGCAAAAGATCAAGTTGTTTTTCCAAATTCAAGACGAGTGTTGTCTGTCGGTATTGTTACTATGCAGCAATTCTCTATGGGATATTCTTTACACAGGCTGAGAACTCATCCCTTATAAACTGGAGGGACATGGCACACTTCACTAGCAATACATTCAGTGGGTAAATGAGTCTGACTCACATGCGCGGGGCAACCCTCACCCTCCTAAATGACTCGTAAGGGCCCATTATTAATATTCTAAGAAAGTTTGTCCCTTTTCGCCCTTCTGAATAATACAGCAAAAGCAGTGAAGACATCAGAGCACATCTGACAGAGCCATGCAACATTTATGGCTGCTGTGGCGGAGGATCTGGCTGCTGTGTTTTCTGCTTCCTTTGACTTTCACAACCTACATGTCGACGGGTCTTGATGTCGGACTCGCCTAAAATAACCGCTCGAGGAGGAATTTTTGCTTCTTCCTTTCACCGAGCACTTTTATTCCAGTGAGTACTTTGAGCTCCTTTTTTTTTTTGTGTGTCTCTCACCTGCAACACTCAAGGCAAACTTCACAGCTGCATCCACAGTGCTGTGATCAGTAACCTGATCCACGATTCCAAGTTGCAGAGCCTCAGCAGCAGTCACGTGGCGGCCTGCGAGAGATGTGAAAGTCATTCAGGCTTTATATGAATGACATACGGCATATTAAATTACTAGAATATGACTAATATCAGTTCAGGTGGCATTGTCATTAAGAGTTCTTCTACGTAGCCACAATATACACTGATTGTGACCTTCATCAGACAAAAGGCAAAACACCACAAAATAAAAAAAGAATAAAGATAATAAAACATTCTTTAAAAGGAAAAGTATGATGAATCACAATTTGTCTAAATAAAGATTTGTTCTGAATATTTCTGATAATCTGACATAGTAGTCAATCACAGAAGAGGCATTTTAGGAAGTATTCATGGTAAAACTTAGCACATGCTGCCCCCTGCTGGTGATAGCAGCAAACAGCAGCTCCCTTCTTGTGTATGGGAATTCTGTGCAATTAACCAGAGATGGCGAAAGTACTCACATTCTTTACTTAAGTAGAAGTAGAGATACTTCAAAATAGACTCTGGTAAAAGTAGGAGGACTGATTCAGCTCCTTTACTCAAGTAAAAGCAAAAAAGTTCAGGTTCAGAAATTTACTTAAGTACAAAAGTAAAAAGTCAAAATGAAGTTTTAGCTTTGATGATACGCGATGCCTCTTTGGATAACTTTGCAAATCTAAAAAAAGTTTCAAGCACGCAAAATAGGATTGCTTTCATCCTTTAAGAACCTGCACAGTGCTGGTACAGAGAAAAAAAACATCACTGGACAGTTTTGAGAGTGTAAGGAGTAGAAAGTCCAGATATTTGTGTTCTAATGTAGGGAGTAAAAGTAAAAAGTCATCAGAAAAAATAAAAAGTACAGATACCTGCAAAACCTACTTAAGTACAGTAACAAAGTATTTGTACTTCGTTACTTCCCACCTCTGCAACTAACTGCAGGACATCCATATGTTCTGTATTAAAATGCAATCAAATTTCAAAGACAAACAAACTGTGAGAAACAGACAAAGGTGTTTCGTGTCTTCTTCATATGAGCTTAGGCCTTTAAAACTTGTATTAACACTGTAACAGTCAGACAGAGTGAACCTATGGTTGCTACCTGTGGTGATGAGGTCTAAGGCAGCTGGAACCCCAATGAGCCTTGGCAGACGCTGAGATCCTGCCGCAGCTGGCAGCAGACCCAGAGTCACCTCTGGAAGCCCCAGTTTGGCCTGGAAGCACATAAAGGCACAAAATTGGACGTACAGAAGATGCTGAACTGTGTGGGTTTGCCACAGTGGCATTCACAGATACAGCTTTCTCTGTCTAATGGAAATGCTACATGGTTTATTACATGGATTAGATGAGTGAATGTACAGTCAACAAATCACTTAGAAAACACTGTTCAGGAAAGATCTGTGAAAAGAAGATTCAGTGAATAGTCATTCTGTAAGATGTAAGATGAAACTGTCACACTGTTGACAGATTTAAAGTGACAAGTTTGAGCTCTAAAACATGAACCAACTTTAGAATGTGAGATGCGATAATGACAGCCAAGTGCCAACTCAAGGCCTCCACCTAAAGCGACCCCCTCTATGGCTGCCACCACCGGCTTGGTCGAAGCCTCGATGGCGTGGATCAGCGGTATCAGCGGAGGACCAGACATCTTTGTCCCAAACTCCCTGATGTCTGCTCCTGTTACAAAAACCAAATTGGCAAAATGATGAGGAAGCTCAAAGAGAAAGACAAAGGTGACATGAAGGGCACATGGTCCTACAAAAAAGTTTGCTCCCGTGTGTGATCTTTGAATTGTTTTAAAATCTAATCTGATTGCTAACTATTTTGATCAATCAAAAAACAGATTCAGAAACAGAAGTTTCATAGACCAAAACTAATCAATTTATTGAGCAAATGATCAGCAAGTTTATCAGTGATGAAAACATTTGTCAGCTGCAGCCCTACTGTGGACTCACATTAAAATATTCTTCTGTAGTACACGCTTATTAATAATTAACTGTGTTTACTGCACTTGTTTTTTAACAAGTGCAATTAAAAAATAACAAGTGCACTAGTTATTTAACAAGTGAAACCGTGTAACCATTTACTTTTGATTTTGTTGTTAGAGTTTTCCCTCTGAATGTTGTGACGGCAGCAATTATATTTGTTTTGCTTCCTGCAATAAATGCATCTCACAAATCACCACTACATTAATTATAATGTGGATACACATAAAAGAGAAGGCCTTAAATAGTTTCTTTGTTCTTTTAATTAAGAATGTTACAAGAAATAAAAAGACAAGGGTCCATACCTCCACAGAATGTTTCCTTCTGGCCACAGATGACTAAAGACTTCACTTCCGGAGCACTGAGGGCTCTCTCCATCGTGTCAACGATGCCTTGCCTCACCATCGCACTGCAGAACAAATGGACTTTTTTTTACTTGCTGTTTTGTTACTGTTTAAACCAGAGTCGAACAATAAATCAATTTGGAAATGAAATTGTAATTTTAATCAGTGCAAATAGCAAAGGCTGCAGTTTTGGATAAATGTTACGCAGCCCGTCTGATGCAAAAAATATCAACAAGCGATCACAGCATCTGTCAGAAAAATAGCAACGGCACATTTCCTCCAAATTGTTAAGTCTGACTTCAAATGGGACAATAAAACCTTTTCACGACAGCCCTTCTTCCAAAACTCATAACTGATATTTAGCGATATGACTATTAACATGGGCTGCAGGGTGGTGCAGTTGGT